TTTACCATTTTCGAATCCATTCAGCCGATCTCCGGGTCTGGCGGTACCACTTTTAGCTGTAGCTAAAAATATAGAAACTCTTTGTGGTCATTTTTGATTGAGATGCTAACAGTCTAATCAGATTCAATGATCTATGCTAAGCTACAGCTAAAAGTGCTACCGCCATACACTGAGATCGGCTGAATGGATTCGAAAATGGTAAAACTCAACTGTTTAACTCTAGGGGAGTTGGAAAATGAGCCTATTTTCAAAAATAGTGGAGTGTTCCTTTAAGAATCTCCATAGGATCCAATAGGCCCCTCTAGTGGCTGTAATCATAAAATCATGCAATTTTATGTAATTTTTCCCCGCCAGATGGCATCAGAGACACTCAGTGACCTAGGTCCTGATGGATCATCATGTTTAATGTATAAATATGCAGAAATTGTGTCTTTTTGTTTTTTTGTTGAAAAAATGCATAAAAATATGCTAATTTTAATAAAATATCCAGAATTTAATGTGAATAAAATAAAAATCACCAAAACAATAACAATAAAACCTACATAAAAATTTTGAAAAAATATATATAAAAATTGGCCAATATAAGCTTTCTGGACCAAAAATAAAATTAGTGTCATTTTTGGCCTTCGGGTCATTTTGACCCACGAGGGACACTTTTGTTATAGGTTCGGGAGGGACGGATGAGGGTTAAAAACACCTAAAAAGCACAAAAGGCAGATAATTTTCTTTTCAGAAGCACTGTTAAGAGCACAAGACAATTTATGACTCTGGAAATTCATTGCTCTTTCAGTTGAGGATCTGCTGTCAATCACAGGTTGGTCATAGTTCTCTGAGATTTCTACAAAAACACATGGGCGAGACAGATACCGCTGGGTATCACGGGAGCACTGGCCTGTTTCAGGATCAGTATCAGAGCCAGAACGAGATCACCACACAGACATACTCCATTTACAGTGGGTTGAAGCCTAAATATTGCACAAACATCTGTCTAACGCTGCAGTTTTGGGTGTATTCCTGTAGTCCCTGTGGACACACAGGCATCCAAGTGATCAGCTCCTCTAAATGTCAGAGAGGGGGACATCATCTCATGGCTGTCTGAAAACCCTGTCACATGAAGAGCCAGGAGAATTCAGACTGTCCACAGGAACATCTATCTTTTTTTTTTTTGAATGTTTTAGAAGGAAGTCTCTTTTGCTCACTAAGGCTGCAGTAAAAAAAAAAATAATTAAAAAGAGTAAAAACAGTATGACATTTTTATTCCAATTTAAAATAACTATTTTTTTTTTAAATATATTTTTAAATTTAATTTATTATTGTGATGGTAAAGCTGAATTTTCTGTCTTCAGTGTCACATAATCCTTCAGAAATTATTCCAATATGCTGATTTGCTGCTTATTTGATCAATGTTGAAAAATGTCATACTGCTTAAATTTTGTGGAAACGATTTTTCCACTCTTTGAAGAATAGAAGGTTTGAAAGAACAGCACTTATTTGAAACAGAAAATCTTTGTAACATTGCCTTTACGGTCACTTTTGATCCACTGTATGCATCCTAGATGAATATAAATATTTATTTCCACAAACTTTTGAATGATAGATTAAGGCCTGTCTATATTTATGTCTATAAGCAGCTACTAAAGAGGAAAGAAGTGATCATACTTAATATCATCACAAAAGACAACAGCACACAAATTCACAAGAATATCAAGTAAAATAAGCACACTCATTCACTCTCACACTCAATTTCTAATGAAAATAAATGCCTCTTTCTTTTCAGGGGAAGATGTTTTTATTATACCTACGTATTGTATTGCACTTACTCTAGGCAAATGTATGTCTAACATATACACACAGACTGAAAACAGTATTATATGGGCCACGAAATGTAAAATTATGAAAATGTGCACCTGTAACTAAATCAGACAGCTGATTTCAGTGGAACATAAATATGACAAATACAAAAACTCCAAAAGAATGAGGACATCCTTGCACATTCACATTTATATTAAATTTTTTTAGACCGTAGACAGAAGACAAAAAAATTCAGAGAAGTGAAATCTGCATCTAGATCCTTGATTTTGGCGTTTTTAAACAGAGTCTGCGAGTCATTTTGTGGTAGCTGGGGCAGTGAACATCTGCTAATGGTCATTAAATCCATTTGGCTGAAGTTATTACGCATTCATGTCACTAAATGAAGCAATACACTCAAACGCCACACAAACGGAAACAGTCATCTGCCTTTTTTTTAATTACCGGCCTGCTATTTAGAAAATCTCAATGCACACTAAACATCTGCCATGATATTAGAAGCACATTTCCTGTCTCTGACCCCACAATCGTTGTATCCTCTGAAAACAATTCTCTGTTTCCTCTGAACGAAAGAACATAAGCACCCTGAGGTGGCAGCAGTCTCTCTCTCTCTCATGCTCGTGTTTGTGGAGGGAGTCATTCTGAGCGATGGCCAGCTGTGTCTCTGTGTGATGTTCAGAGCTGCACTTGAGTGAACTCTCTAGAACATACTTGTGTATGTTTTCTTCTCTGTCCAAGCACACACCTGCTTGAAGTACATCAGTGTTTGTGCTTAATAACGGCTGCTCCACTTCTATCCCTCCATTACAATGTACAACCAGTATTAAAACCAAAAAGTGCAGACTAATTGTCAGAACAGACAGAATAGATTTAAACCATCTATATAGAGAATTCAGAAAACCCTGTTATTAGCGACACCTGTGGCTGTTAATTTCACTGCGGCTGACAACTGATTTGCTCGTGTTCGCACTCATGCTCACATAACATGTAAGTGTTGGATTTGTTCTTACAACCAAGCAGCTTTTCACTTCACAAAATGTTAATTAGTTATGTGAATTAATTGTTGATTATTGTGATGTTTTTATCAGCTGTTTGGACTATTCTGATGGCACCCATTTACTGCAGAGGTGAGGTGAGCAAGTAATGTAATGCTTAATTTTTCCAAATCTATTCCGATTAATAAACAAACTCATGTATATTTTGGATGGTCTGAGCGTAATTACATTTTCAGAAAATTGTCATTTTTGGGTCAAATATTTTTATATAGAGTAGGGCCCTATGATTTTCGTGATGCGGAAAACGTGAGCGGAATTACGGAAACCAGTCATAAAAACAGAATTTACTGTATAACGCGGAATGTCACAGAATTTGCCAAATTTGAGATGGATACATAAAAAATAAAATTAATTACTTAGAGATGCTTTTGATTATTAATATTTAATGAAACCATTAAAATGGAATCCAGAAAAGTAATGGAAAAGAGAATTTGGTAAAAAATAAAACTCAATTTGAGAAAAAAATAAAACATTTCATAGGGTCTTAAATATATTTTTGTTAAATTTTTTATGCATTTCTGCTTAATATTTGAATTTTCATTATTTCAATTAATTAGACAGGCTTTTTGGTTCATACAATTTAATTTAACCCGTTAAGAGTCTAGAAAAATTAACAGAATCCATAAAAATGTCAACAGAAAAAAAAACGTGATTTGGAAATATTTTGGGGGGGGGGGGGGGGGAAGGGTTTTAAA